GATGTCTTGTGGGGCATTTGATTTATTTAACCATTACACGGCCAAAGCTCAGTTATTGCGTCCATGTCGTAGCTCAATTTATGCAGAGTCCTCGAGTTGATCATTGGGATGCGGCCTTACGTGTGGTTCGTTATCTGAAAGGATGTCCTGGTCAAGGAATATTTTTGCGCTCTGATAGTGATATGCAATTATATGCCTATTGTGATTCCAATTGGACGAGTTGCCCTCTCTCTCGTCGCTCTCTTACTGGGTATTTTATCATGTTCGGACATTCCCCATCTCCTGGAAAACCAAGAAACAACATACTGTCTCCCGGTCCTCTACCGAGGCTGAATACCGGTCAATGGCTACTACCAGTTGTGAGTTGAAGTGGCTAAAAGGTTTGCTATCATCATTGGGTATCTCTCATCCTCAACCTATACGCCTATTTTGTGACAATCAGGCTACTCTGCACATTGCCGCGAACCCTGTTTTCCATGAGCGGACCAAACATATTGAAGTTGATTGTCATTTCATTCGCAATGAGCTCCAAACTGGCACTATTGCACCTGCCTATGTCCGTACCGGTGAACAACTTGCCGACATTTTCACCAAGGCCCTCGGACAACAACAGTTTGATTCCTTCCTTCCCAAGTTGGGCATTCGCAATCCTCATGCACCACCTTGAGGGGGAGTATTGGATGAAGATAAGAAGACTCGCGAGAGTCCCGGCTTGAAAGTCTTTATCCTAATTTGTACCTGTACTAATATAGGAAGTCTCTTTCCTTTATGGATTAGGAACTTCGTTTTAGAAAGTTTTGGGGAGCAAGGAACTCCACCGCCGTATGTATATAAATACCATAAGGTTCAATGGAACAGTAGGATCCTTTGGGGCTTCCAAAGTTTTTAATCTCTTGTCTTCATTATTACAATTTTTTATTTCCCCCAAATATTATTGATCTCAGTTTTGACTATAGTGAGGAATGTACATGTTTGCGCGTTTGGTTCAAAGATGGAGGGAGCTTTTTGTTAGGGTGGGAATACATTGAAGCTTTTAAGTCTTTGGGAAATTTAGATAGATAAAGACTACGACTCCGTTTGGTATGTCTTTTCGTGAAGGCTATCGGTTTTTTAGAAGCTTGGCAGCCCATGTTTTCGTTTTTTTTTTTTTTTTGGTTGGAAAAAGATCTAGCCACCGAAAGCTGTAGTCTCGAAAAGATTTGGGAAGCCCGTTTTGGACTATTTTCGAGAAGCTACAAATGGAGCTTTTCTCCTTTGTTTAACTCATCTTCATATGGAAAGACATGCAAAAGGACACGACTTAACCAAACGATCTTCAAGCTATTAAGATCTTAATGCAAAAACTTACATCGACTTTTGACTGTCAGAGCTTCCAAAAGATCTTTCAAAAAAGACTACTTACCAAACGGCCTCGTATTTAAAAGATATACAAGAAATAGTGTCCAAACTATAAAGCCAAAGTTCGACAAGTTCATATTCCTTTCAATGCCTTTTTGGGATTCCTTTTTGGATTTCATCAATCTATTCATTTATTTATTTTTCTCACTAATGATATTTTAGGAAAGCATAAAATCACTAAATAGTTGGTTGGAAGGAGAATGGTCTATTGGACTTTTTATTCACAAACGAAACATGATCATTTCTTATAAAATGATAAAATTACTCATCCAATGTGTAACGGCCCCAAGTTAATTTTTGCAAAAACTTGTTGGCTTCCAACGTGCCTCCTGCTACAAGTGTTCTTCTAAATGGATTGTTTGCTTTCTTTCATGATGATCTTTTTTTTCATTTTTTTTGATTTATTGGTTTTTACTCTTTTGCTCAAAAACAAAATAAAACAATAAGAGAAGTGAATATTGTCCTTAATTAAATCAACAAACTCAAATAATGTTAATTTTTCCAACTAAATCCTTACTGAATTATTTTGTTTGCTGGGTCAAATTGAGTTTATTTTTCTTGAATGAATCATTCCCGCCTTGGTTCGATTTGGATAGTAGATTTGGTTGCTTTATGGTCTTTTACTTTTTATTTTCTTATATTTTGATAATTTGGAGAATTCCTTTAATGGTTATTACTTTCATTGGTTATGGCTTCCCAAACAATAGTTTTGAAGCTCCAACTGCCCAACATGGCAGGGTAGACGTTTACTTCATTATGTAGCAAATATATTATCAATGTTTTCAAAACCGAACCAGATCAGACTGGAAAAATCAGGAGCCAGTCACCTGATTGGTTTCATTTAACCCCAAACTCGCTTTTGGCCAAAAACTGTTGATTTGGTCTGATTTGGACAGTCAAACCATTGAACTGTTCAACCCAAGAACAGTTTTTAGCCGATTTTTTTGGGTTTTTAATTTTTTTTTAATTTTTTATCAGAGTGGGCTGTCCGTTCGGACCATTCGACCCAAGAACCGGATCCAGAATGGTTCCCTGTCCAATCCAGTTTTAAAAACCTTGGATATTATCATAACTACTCCAATTGGAAATTTCCCGTAGATCCTACTTAGACCCTTGGTTATACATAAGTGGTGAGATTTCTTTTCTTTCTTCATCAAATTTCTTTCTTTCCTTTTATATCTATTTTTTATATTATTTGTTTCATTCTTTTTCTTTATCAAATACCAAGGGCTTTACTAAATTTCCTTTATTTTTGTATTGTTGTAGGTTTGGAGGAGACAAACCAAATATTATATATTTTTTTCCTTTGTTCAACAAGTAATATGCTTTTGATTGTAACATCTCCCATTTTTTTTGATATTTTTACCATTTTACTATCCAAATTTTTAAGCATTCAATACCCATTGTCAACTTCAATTTTTTATCTCTCGGTCTCTTACTTCATTTCATGTGCATTGCACGGGTTTTTGCTAGTCTTTTTTATATGTCTGATTGAAATCTACTTTGACACCTCTAGCATTTGCATTGATTCCATCTGATGCCAAACAAATAGCTAAAAGCACTTGCAATGTTGGATCCTATCATCGGAGTATATTTATAAGAACAACCAACACCTTGAACCTATTCAGGAGAGATTGGATTGGCTGAAAAAACCAATGATAACACTTCGCACAGTCATAGAATACATAGGGCCCATTACCATTCAACCTCTCAGTACGAGCCCCATGTATTTTGTCACTGGCATCGAGCATTATTATTGGTTCCACAATTTGCTACATGTTAAAGCATCTAGTTAATCCAAAATTTATCTAGGCCTTTGTTATTTGTTGTTGAAACCATGATTTTCAAAACTGGATCAGACCGGACGATCGGATTGGAAAAACTGGTAACTGATCAGCCATTCGGGTCTGGTTTTACTAGAAATATGAAAATTGAAAAAAAAATGTTGAAAAGTCAAAAAAACTGCTGACCCGGGCGGTTAGACCACTAAACCATTCGACCTGGGCAGCTGTTCGCGGGTTAATATTTTTAATTTTAAAAACAAAAAATAAAATACCTATTATATCCCAACTAGTTCGAATCCCTTATTTGGGTTTCCCTTTAGCTTTAGGGTTATTTCCCATTTTCCCGACTTCCCTCCTCACTCCTCACTCCTCTCAACCCTCACACCCTACCGACCGATCACCTACGGTGGCCATCACCTCCGGCATTCGACGGCGACCGGCGAACTTGCAACGGCGAAAAGTCACCCTCACCCCAGCACTTGCAACGGAGGACGGCAAGCTTGCAGCAACACTCGACACTTGGCACTCGGCACTGGCGAGCCCAAGCCCGACTTGCAGGCTTACAGCGGCAGTGAATCCACTCGGCACTCAACACTTGCAAGCTTGCAGCGGCAACTTGCCTACAATCAAGCCCGACTGTGCGAGCCCACCGGCGGCGAATCCATTGTCACACCACCATTACCGGCACTCGGCAGTGAAACCCTGAAGGTTTAATTTTTTTTTCGGGTTTTTTTTTGTGATTTAATTGATTTTTTGAATTTTTTTTATTCATTTGGTTCATCAGCCCCTGTTTGTTCTTCATTTGGTTCATCATTTTGCTTTGGGCCTGCTAGGCAGAGGCTTTTAGTGAATATTTTATAGTTTATAATTAGGAGCAGCAGACAATAAGTTGATAGATTTACTAGCAGAAAGTTGTTGCTTGTATTTCTGTATCAGTTTCTTGTTGATTATATGCCTTGCTGAACCCTCAAACTTCATTTGATGATCAGATGCTTAGTTCTTTGTTTAAATAATCTTTCTTAATTTGTTTTTAATTTTTATATGATGATCAGATGCTGAAAGTTTTGCTTAAATTTTTGCAAACAATTTACTCTCATTTCTAATGGAGTGATTTTACATTTTGGTTAATTATTTGCTTAATTATTTTTTGCTTATATGGAGCGATTTTACATTTTGGTTGGTTCTTTTAGTCAATGCAAGGTTTTAAATTTTATATTTTGTGTTTGTATGAAGGGATTTATTTTTGAGTTGGGTTTCTTTGGTT